AGATAAATAAATACACACACACAACATGTACTTACACGATATAAATAAATACACATACATAACATGTACTTACATATGATATAAATAAATACACACGTACTTATATATGAGCTTATGCACACGTACTTATATATGAGCTTATAATTAGATAAATAAATACACACACACAACATGTACTTACACGATATAAATAAATACACATACACAACATCTATTTACACACGACCTGTTTTTTTTCACTTGGTTTATATAATTTATTTTTTCAGTTTATTACTTTCAGAAAAATTATCGAACTTGCATGTACTATTCTCATACATGCCACCATTTTCTTCTTATTAGTAAACAAAAAGTTTGTACAAAATTAAGTACTCTATTTAAAGACAAGAATATCATTGTATTTGAAAACAACATAACTCAGTGGCAAGACGGCATTTCTCAAGTATTTTCAAACAATGAAATTGCTAATTATGTGAAATAAATGTTCAACAACCATCCACAGTCAAGGTCAGATCGGCGAAGAATGTAATAAATTCAAAAAGCATACTTTTCAGTATGCATATAGAAACAAGTCCACTTGTAATAAATTCCAAACGCAGTGTTCATTATGCATATAAAATCAAGTCCACTTGTAATAAATTTCAAACGCAGTTTTCAGTAGGCATATAGAAACAAGTCCACTTGTAATAAACTCAAATTGCACAGTTTTCAGTAAGCATAAAGAAAAAGATGCTCTTACCTGACTTCAATGATCATTGCTTTTAACAGAATAAATATGTCTAAATACAAGGGTACAAACGAGGCTATTTGTTCAACAGGATTCTTCACGACTTTTTTTTTAAAGAATAATCAGTTATCACACTCATTGTCTGATGTTACTGAACATGAGAGTTAAGAGATCAAACGTTATCAGCTGTTGGACTTCCAATGTAAGAATGAATATTATCTGATACTTTAGATAGTGTTAAGGTGACACTTTCTTTACGACCTCGTGTTGGAATACCAAAGTAATCTCGAGAAACCTGATTAACAATAAAATAACAATTTACCAATAAAGCATTCTGTGGTGGACGTATATATAACTTTATTATTTCTTTAAGCAACAACTGTTATCTTTCATTTTATCTGGCTTCATACAGGTAGCTTGGTCTCAGATAATTCATGCTAATCACCATATAACACTCAACAGAATGTCTTCGAAAGGGAGAAGCCATTTTTTTTTTGTTAACCATGCGTAAAGTAATAGGCTTGGATAGATCGGGTCTTCAATGGAAAGGAACCAAACAAAAGACGCAGATTAACTGACCCGATCTCACGACTTTAGTCCACAATTTGAATTCGTGTGAACTTTTAAACGCTGACCCTTGACGTTATTTTAAGGAGGAACAACCTTGCACCAAACCGTTCATGTCACAGGAATAACTCAGCTGTCATAATTTGCACTGAAATGTTATCAGTTATGCACCAATGGAACTCGTCTGAAGTTTTCAGTGGTTATTATTCGTATCATATACTATGCAGAAATAACGTCTGGCGCGGTAACAATTTGATTCAATGGGAAAAGCCATTGTTTCATACCAGTAGGAAGTTGTCAGACAACATGATGACATTTATTTTTTTCAATTTACAATCAACTAATGTTTTTGCTGGTTCTTGCTTCGCCAATTTCTGGTGGAAGAAGGAATGTTAAAGTAACTTCTTAATTTTGATATTTGTAACCTGATATTAGATACACTGGCCAAACGACTAGGTCAGAAACTCTAAGGTTCAAGTACAAGTGTCCTTAATTTAGAACTGCTGACCAGAGGAAAGGCACCGAGTCAGCAGCACCTGCCACGTATACGACTACGAACAGCAGAACTGACTGTCACAATTATAGCTTAATGTGCAGAGAGTGCTCAACAGAATACTGCGGCTCGAATCTTGGACAGAAATTTCTGATCAGCAGCCTGGCTAAGCCTAACCTGAAAATAATTTATAAATCACTTACTTCGGCCTTCTTATAATTTATTTAGCAGAGATACAAGAAAACTATCTCCACCTCTACGTTGTTATCCGAACTGTCCGAGAATTAAATTAAGTGAAAAGTTTCTCATGATATTTTTACAATTCGAGAAATTCAATTACATCTGAAGGAATATTTTTTACTTGATATACTCGCATGTTTGATACAAATCCATGTTGACTTATAGAACCAATATCTATCAAGCTACACCTACATATAAAAGATACTGGGTTGAAGTTTGTGCTTCATTACTAATGTTTCGAGACCATCTTTAAAACAAGCACGAGCAAAATATAAATTGCTTTACTGCAATCCCCATTTAATTGAAATGGACGATCAAATCTGGCTGAATAGATTTTCACAGATCTTCTTATCCGCTTATCTTTTGTTTATAAGTTCACATAAAGTGGATGAAAAAAACTAATCGCTTTTAAAGACAAAAAATTTCGGTTTTTATGTCAAGAGGAGTATCATAAGCTCAGCAAAATCTGAGAAGAAGAAAAAAAAAAAACAGAAAATAATCCTAACGCAACATTCTAATTCCTTTTTTAAAAGATAATTCGGCTTTCAGTTTTTCTCTTACCTTAATAAATAAAAAAGGTACTTGTTCTTCTGCCTCTTGGCATTTAATTGGATTCTTAATGAGTAATTTCTCACTAACTTAAGTTTTTATTTTCTACGTGATTATTTAATGAATCGCTATATTAACCTTCACTGTTCTATCCCATCACAAGACCATTTTCAATC